GATAAATGCCTCCTCCCATTGTGAGGTAAGAACACAGAGCGTGGAGGAGCCGAGGAGCACGTGGGGATGTTGTTGCCTGTTCAGGTGCCCAGGATGGAGCAGGAGCAGGCGCTTGATGCTTTGGTTGGTTGATGCTAGTGGTTGGTGGGGCCAGAGCCTCTCCCGCTCCGCTCTGGAGAGCAGGATGCAGCAGGAGTGCTGTGTGTCCACAGTGGGAAGGGACATCCATCCCCCCCCCCCAGTTGGCTGCAGCTTCAGTTTTGTATTCCCTGGCTGCTGCTATCGAGTTCTCCTGATCAAAGTCTCCCTGATTGCTGTTGGGTGGTGCTCTTGCACTTGCAAAGAGGTTTCATTACCTTTGCTCTTGGAGCATTAGTGTTTGGTTGCTTTTCTTTTGTTTGTTCCACAGTGTTTGGGCACAAACCAACGTCAGAATTAAAGGGTTATTTTCACATGGTGCAGTCATCTCACTGCTCCGTGCCTGCACACAGCAGGGTTCCCCGTTGGGTGGGTTTGCTGATCCTTCTTGATGCTGTTTGAGTGTCCAGTGCTGGGTGCCCCATCGCTGCTCCTGGCACTGGCTGCAGCCACCCCTGGGGCTCTTTGTTCTGGTTTTGGCACCATCACTTGCCAAATGCTTTGGGCAGCACTCCCTGCCTGCTGCCCCTGAGATGTGGAGCTTGGTGCAGGGTGAGGGGATGCAGGTGCTTGTAGTGGGGTTTGCCTTTGGTTCTCCTGGCTGGGGCACGATGCCCTCTGCTAATGAGCTAATGGGAGCCTGTCACTGGTGCTGCATTTGAATGAGCCTGTGCAGATTCATCAGATACACGGTTTGACTTTGTAGTCTGAAATTAGCAGGGATAAAGTCCTCTAATGCACTTGTGTTACGTAGGAGCTCCGGAGGGAATTCATAATAATCCGATGAGAACAATCGCATTTGCTCTGATGCAAGCTGCCTCCAGAACAAGTCCTCTTTGTTTGCTGCCTGCAGGCAAGGAGCTGCCTTCTCAGAAATGCTGCTAGTGGTGTGTGCTTGGGCAGCAGCCAGCCCAGAGCACTTGGGGGTGCAGATATAGGTACAGACAAAGCTCCTCCAGCTCCAACCCCTGTCACAGGCAGGGACCCTTTCCACTAGAGCAGCTTGCTCCAAGCCCCTGTGTCCAACCTGGCCTTGAACACTGCCAGGGATGGGGCAGCCACAGCTTCTCTGGGCACCCTGTGCCAGCGCCTCAGCACCCTCACAGGGAAGAGCTTCTGCCTAAGAGCTCATCTCAGTCTCCCCTCTGGCAGCTTAAAGCCATTCCCCTTGGCCTGTCCCTGCAGGCCCTTGGCCAAAGCCCCTCTTCAGGGGAGGGGCCTTCAATAAAGTTTGTATTAATTACTATATAATCATTTAATCCCCAGGTGGAGCTGGTGCTGCTGTAGGAGGGCAGGGCACAAACCTGGCCCCTGGCCTGTGCTGCTACAATCCCTTTGCCAATATTGGCCCAAGGATTATCCGAGGCGGTGCCATCACTGCAGAGCAGCACCCAGCATTTGGAAGCTTCCCGGGCCTGCAGCAGGGGAGCGGGACGGGAATGACCTCCTTGGACAATTGCTTTAAAATCTGCCAGAGCAAAACGTCAGCAGGAAAAGTCTGTTGCCCACACGTTGGTGTAAACCATGGCTCACCCAGCCCAGGCCATGTCCTGAGGGGTTAAAGAGGGGTGACTCAGCCGGGTCCCTCTGACTGACACATTACTTCATGAGGTCAGGACCAGGTTTGTTTTCCTTCTGTGCTGCTCTGCACAAATCCCTCCGAGCAGTTCCTTGTGTGTGTGCAAAGGCAGTTGTGTAACTGCCAGCCTGGGGCACGCTGCCCATCACCGCTGCGCTCAGAGGGCAGGACTGGGACCAGCAGGCCCCGGGCCTGGGGAGGGGTGCGTGGGTGCTGGGGGGGGCGGGAGCTGCCCCTCTGCCAGGGCACGGAGCGATAGATAACGGGAGAGCTGCGACCGGGCTGGGAAGAGGCTCGAGGGCTCTGCTGCTCCTGCTCTGCTGCTGCTGCGGTGGCACCAGGCTGACCCAGGGTGCAGGAGGTGATGTCCGTGCCCAGGGCTGCCAGCGCGGTGGGGATGAGGCAGCCCCTCAGAGAGACAACCTCGGGCAGGCTCTGGAGCCGCGGCAGCCTCTGCGGAGCGCGTTTCAGCACGAAGCCTTCCCCCGCTGCGTGTGCCCCAAGCGCGGCTCCCGCTGCTCCCTGCGCTCTGCCTCTGGCACCGGGCAGGCGGACGGGAACCCCTCTCTGCGGCCGCTGCTCTGTGCAGGACGCGCACGTCCTGCGGCTCCCCTGGGTCTGGTCCCCTCCCTGGTGGCTTCCGGACGTTCGGGCAGGACCCACCTTTTCCTGCCAGCCCGGCCCAGCGAGGCCATCGCCCGGGGAGGCTGCAGCGGGGCCTGGCCCTGCCCCGGGGGCTCTGCAGGGCGAGCGGCAGCGCCTGGTCCACCCTGGCTGAGCCCTGGCTCCCGGTTGCCCACAGACCCCCTTCCCTTCGGCCCCGGGCTCGCGGGGAGCCCATCTTACGTAAACTGGTCACTTTTAGCCCCAAACTGGGGAGGGGGCTGCCGGGAATCGCCACGGGTCGGCTGGCCAGAGATGAAACGCATTCCTGCGGCCGGCGCCGGCTTTCCCGGTGGATGGAGCTCCGCTTTGATGGCGCTGGGGACCTGCCGGGGCGTGTCGATAGTTGCCCCCCACCTCGCATTGCGGCTGGGCAGGGCAGGAGCCATAAGAGGCAAAGGACAGCCCGTGGGCCCCCCAGGGCAGAAGATGCCTCTATCCCTGTCCTGGGCTGCTGCCCCTTGAAGAGCCGCTGGATTCCTTCCCCGAACTGGGTCCTTGCCAGCGGGGATGGACACAAACGTGGCTTTTATGGAGCCAGAGCACAACATTTCCCCGTGCCCGGGCAGCAGCATCCACGCAGGTCAGCGGCCCAATGTCACTGTGACCCCTGCCCAACGCAGGGCAGCTCGCCCCGCTCAGCAAACGGCCCCGGCGCTGCGGAGCACTCAGCATCGGGCACGTCCGGCTGCCCCCGGCCCTGCTCCGGACACGGTGGCTCCGTGTGGAGCCGGGTGTCCTGTGCTGTCACTTGGCCACGCTGCAGCGGTGCCCCAGCCTGGAGCCAGAGCAGGGCAGAGGGGACCGGGAACGGCGGCAGTCTCGGCGGGGAGCCGGCTTCCTTCAATTGTATGGAAATGAGATTGGCCAAGGGGCCTCCTGCAGCCGCCTCTCGCCCGTCCTTCACTCGCAGCCCGTGTGAGGGCAGAGCAAACCCCTATACCCAGTGGGGTGCCTGGAGCCAGGCCCCGCCGTGCGCTCCAGCGGGATCCGCATCCCGGCGCACCTCAGTCACCCGCCAGGCCTCGTGCACCCTCCCTCCGCCCAGGGCACCGCTGAGGCGCGGGGTGCTGCGGGGACACGTCCCTGTCCCCCCGCCCCATGGCCACTGTGGGCAGCAAAGGGCGGCGCTGCCGGTGCCGGGGCTGGCCGGGGCTCTCCAGGTCAGGCTGTGACCGGGGAGTTAATGAAGAACAGGGCGCTGCCGAGCGCAGCCAAAGAGCTTGTTTGTCCCAACGGAGCGGGGCCGGCCGCGCTTGGTGCTGCTCCCCTTCCCGTGCAGCGCCTCCGTCCTCCGGCAGCATCCCCCCCACACCCGCCCCAGCCCTCCCGACCTTCTGTGTTCCCCGTTTCCAGGAAGCGCAGCTTTGGCAGGGACCGGCCGCTCCTTCCCCGCCGCGGGAGGGGCCCGGGCTCCCGCCAGCCCCTTGGGTTGCGCAAGGAGCCCCGCGGGCGCCTCGGCCCCGGGCAGGTGGAGCAGAGCGGGTCCGGAGCCGCCACCTCTTCCCCGTGCATCGGGATCGCAGGGAGCGGCCATGGGCAGAGCAGCCCCTCAATGGAGTGTCGGGGCACCGTGTCCCGGCAAGGGGCTGGGGCAGAGCTCCCCTGGGCGGCAGCGCGGGTTCTGGGGAGCAGATGGAGCTGGAGGGGTAGGATTTGGAAGCGATGGGTGGGGAAGGCGGAGTTCGACCCAGCTCCGCTCGGGACAGGGACATCACTGTCCCGGCCCGGCTGAGCTCAGCCCCGTGCCCTCACTGCTCATCCCCGGTGCTTTTTTGCCCAGCGAGGGCCGGTGGAAGCACAATAATATTTGTGCACCTAAAAGTAGCAGGATCGATCCCGCAGCTGTTTCGCAACGTGCTGAGGACCCGGCGCTGTCAGCTGTGTCAGGAACGTGGCGCTGGCGAGGCGGTGCTGCGCTCATGATGCTGTTGTGCAACGCTGCCCTCCGCCGCCCCGGAGCGAGGCGGGGGGGGGGGGGGGGAATGGAGCTGCTGGAGCTTTGGCAAGGGGCTGCCTCGCACAGACCGAGCCCCTCAGCGCTCCTGGGCGTCCTGCGGGGAAGGGGTGATGTTGTCTGCGGTCTGCAGCTTCAGAAGTCACCCGGCAGTGATGCAGCGAGGATGAAGCTCCAGGATGCGTCACGCGGGGATTGCAATCCATAGGAACCCACAGTCCCAGCCTGGGTTGAAGGGACCTTAAAGCTCATCCAGTTCCAACCCCTGCCACAGGCAGGGACCCCTTACACTGGAGCAGCTTGCTCCAAGCCCCTGTGTCCAACCTGGCCTTGAACGCTGCCAGGGATGGAGCAGCCACAGCTTCTCTGGGCACCCTGTGCCAGCGCCTCAGCACCCTCACAGGGAAGAGCTTCTGCCTAAGAGCTCATCTCAGTCTCCCCTCGGGCAGGTTAAAGCCATTCCCCTTGTCCCGTCCCTGCAGGCCCTTGGCAAAGCCGCTGCTGCCCCCTGCCGGGCGGGAGGAGAGGCGTGGCGCGGCCAAGGGCGTGGCGGGGATTGTTACGTATTGAGCGGGGGCGGAGCCTCGCTGCGGGCAGCTCCGCCGCGCCGGCAGGGGGCGGTACGCGTTGGCGGTTGGGGGGCGTGGCGTGGCGGTGACGCGAGGGGCGTGTCCCGCGGAGGTGGGGGCGTGTCCCGCCGGTCCGGGCCGCTCCGCTCCGCGCCGCTCCGGAGGAGCCGGTGCCGCCGCTGCCATGTACCGGGCCCTGTACAGCTTCCGCTCGGCAGAGCCCAACTCGCTGCCCTTCGCCGCCGGAGAGACGTTCCTGCTGCTGGAGCGCAGCAACCAGCACTGGTGGCTCGTCACCCGCGCCGGCTCCGGCGAGACGGGCTACGCGCCGGCCTCCTACCTCCAACGGCTGCAGGTGCCCGGGGCCGGGGCGCGGTGGGACCCGGGGCCGGGCAACTGCGGGCGGGCGGCGGTGCCTGCGGTCCGGTTTGCGGTGACGCCGCTCGGAGCAGCCCCGTGCGCTGCCCGCGCCCCTCCCAGTCCCTTCAATGCCCCTTCTGGAGCCGCCGGCTTCGGCCGAGGGAAGCGGGGAGTGCGGACGGGGTTACCCCTGCAGCACCCGACCCGCGTGCGGCACCGTGCGCCTGCCGGGGCAGGGCCGGGGGTTGAAGGGAGGCAGGAGGCGCGTCCTGTGGGTGCCGCGTCCCGAGAGCGCCAGCGCTGCGGGGCAGGGCGAGAGCTCCGTGGGGACTCGGGCCGGGTGAGGGTCCCGGGCAACAGCGCGCAGGTCGAGCCCGCTTCACTCCGGCAGAGCTGGGAGAGGAAGGCAGGGAAATGCCGAGGTGCTGCGCGGGGCCCTGCTCCCGGAGCGCACCCGATCCCGGGTATCGCTGGGGTCTCCCACCAGCAGCCCCGGTGGTGTCAGTGCGTAGCGCTGGTGCGGTCACCTCCGTGCCGGCCGCTCAGCCGCGGGGGCTTCCATTGCCCCCCAGCACCAAGGGGTGATCGTGCTCCTGGGGGACTGGCGACACCAGTACTAAACCCACACCATGCCGGGGCTAGGAGGCACCACGGCAGCTGCCCGTGCCTGTAGTGGCAGAAGTCACAGCCAGGCTGGCGATGCTGGTGATTGAAGAAGCTCCGAGGGGGCTGCTGCAGCCCTCGCTGGGTCGGAGCAGGGAGGAGGCACCTTTCGGGTGCTGCAGCAGTGGGTGAGAGCCCTGCACCCATGCAGTCGTGGGAGAGAGGTTGGTTACGGCTTGTGCAGTGCAGGGGCTCTGTAGTGAGGGCTTCTGAGGGACAACGTGGCCCCTGAAATTAAAGCAGGCCTTTCATGTAAGGCTAATTCACTTTTGTGCTTTTGGGCCTTGGGATAGCTGTGGGGGCCGTGTGCTTGAAACCCTTTGCATCTGTGAATGGGGAACTGCACACAAATGCTGTGAATGTTACAAATGGGGTGTCTGGCTGCAAGGGGTGGCAAATCCTGTGTTCCAGTGAGCTGCTGCTGCTCCTTCAGGTGCCACTGAAGTTGTGAACAGCAGCCCCTCAGCCTCTAAGTGTGGGCTGAGCTTTGCAGAGCACTCCAGTGCCGCCAGTGTGACCTGGGGAGCCTGTACTAGTGTTAGGGCACTGCTGGGCCCCTAAGCTGGCTGCTTGGTCCAGGAGCTGCCCTTCCTGCGAGCCTGCACCTGGCCTGACTGGAGGGGACATGTTGTGTGGCAGTAAGCCCTTAAGCTATTTACAGGAGCTGTTAGAGAGCACGGATCGCACTGAACTGCTGGGTTTTAAGCCCTGTCGTGGCACAGCTCCAGGCTGCTGCTCCTCAGTTTCCCCTCTGCAGTCCCCTGCTCTCTGCCCGTGTGATGTGACGTCTTCTCGCTGCTGCCGTGGGTGCAGGAGCCTCCTCCCCGGCTGCCTCTGGAGCTGCCTTCCTGCATCTCTCCACCGTGCTCCTACCGGCTCCCGAAGCTTGTACATGAAGGACATTTCTGCCCTGACTTTACATTCATTTCTCAGATCGTGTTTTGCTGCAGCCTTAAGGCAGTGTGCAGCCTGCCAGGCTGACTCCTAGCACCCAACACAAACGCACTCACATCAAAGCAGTGCTGCTGGTGGCTTTGTGAGCCTTCTCCTCTGGACCAGATGAAACTTTCCCAAATGCCCTTAGAGCCGGCAGCGCGAAACAGAGGAGCTTTCCCTGCATCTGCTCATCCCTTCTGGCTGCTAAATTTCTGGCACCTGAGCTTGCCTGATGGTGCATGAGGCAGCAAGATCTCATTTGCTGCTCTGCAGTTGCAGTAATGCTCTGTGTCTGTGACTCTCTGCTGTTCCTGCCAGCTCTGAAGAGCTACTCTGAAGTCAGAACCTGCTTTTATTTATGGGAGAAGGCACCTGCTGGCTGGGAGCTTGCTCGAGACTTTGCTGCGTGTCCGGGATGAGGCCAAGCACTTGTCACCCAGTTTTGGGTGCTGGGACTAATTGGTGTCAGCAGTAAATGCTGCCCTGGTCAAGACAGAGGGAAGCCACAGCTGATGGTGGTTGGTGCTTGGCAGGGAGGGAAGGGGGCCAACAGGAGTCCCCTTGCAGGGGTGCACCGTGGCTTCCTCAGCAGCGCAGGCAGGTTCAGGTGAACAGGAGGCTGCAAACAGGCACAGCCCTGTGAGGAGGCTCAAGGAACGGGTTTGGGCTACTCGTGGTGCTGCCCTTGGCTCTCCAGGGCAGAAGCTTCCTTACCCGCTCCTCTTGAGTCTCAGCGGGTTTTGCTCGGCGTTCACAGGTACAGGAAATTCACGCCTTGGCTTCTGTGGAGGAAGAAATAATTCCTATTTATTACTTAAAGCTTGTTCTTGGCTGATGCCTTTTCATCACAAATGTGGCAGAATTTTGTACTGCAATCCTTGTGGCTCAGTGTTGCTGTTAAAAGAGGGTTAGTTGTGTGTGTGTGTGAAAACAGCTAACAGATCCTTCTTAGAAACACATAATGCCTCTAAGAAACAAATCAGGGCTGAGCCAGGGCACCAGAAGGTGCAGATGATGTGAAGTTAATTAGAAGTCATTTGGAAGCAGCCAACTTCAGTTGATGTTCCTGCTGATTTTATTCTTCTGTAGTTCTCATTGAGTTCCATTGTGGGGGTTTAAGAGCCATTCCAAGTTGGGGGCCATGCTGGGATAGATACTGATGCCATCAGGCAGCGAGAGGGAAGGATGGGGCAGCAGAGCAAGCTACTCACTACAAGGCCAAATCCTGCTGCAGTGAGGCTGATGGCACAAGTGCCATTCCCACGGAGTGGAAGGTGCTGTCAGCACCAGACTGGGCTTTAGTATCCAGCTTGGTGCTGATGCTTAAGAGATGTACGAGTGGCAGAGAAATAGAGGCTGCACTGGAGTTTAGCGTGTCCTTTGGAGTCGGCCGCTCCAGGAGACCTTCTGAAGCTTTATGTGCACTCACTCAGTTTTGAAAGCTTCTGTAGGAGCAGGAGATCCCTCGGTGTCAGGGAGGCACAAATGCTGAGTTTAGCAAACAGTGAGTGTCCTCCCTTTGGGTTGAGCAGCCTGTATGTCTCTATGCCTTCACCAGGCACCACGGCTGGGCTTGCCTGCTCTCTGGTCTGCACTGCCCCAGGCTGTGTTCCCTGTCAGGGGGCGTGTTAATGCACTGAGGAGGGACCTGCAGCCGTTCGGTGCTGTGTTGGTAAATGCCAGGGGTGCAAAAACAAGGGCTGAGTTGCAGGGTGATGTTTCCCGGTGAAGTGGGAGTGGGTTAGCATGCACCTCAGCTGCATTAAGCCATTAGGAAACAGCTTTGAAATTACTGTTGATAGTGTTTTCCAAATGACTTTATTTGGAATAACAAAGAACTTGTTTGCAGTGTGGGGTTAGAGCCTCTGCTCAGCCAAGGGCCTCTCTGGTGGGTCACTCTTTCCCCCTGTACCTCTGGGGGAGTGGGAAGGGGCTGTCTGGGTGGGAAGCTGCAGGTGCTGATGGCCAAGAAGCTTTGAACCGTCTGGTGAGAAAATGGACCCAGCCGGGAGCGCAGTTTGAGGATGCTCTCGTTGCTGTTCGCTGTATCTGCCACAGGAATAAACAGGCTGTGATAAAAATACGAGTCAGCTCGGTGCAGCCTAGCAACAACCGAAACCCTCCTGCAGGCTGAGCCCTGCGCAGCACAGGTACCACCGGGCGGGTGGGCGCAGGAGCAGTGCCTGCCTCCCGCGCCCTCCGGCTCCTGTGGAGGAGATAGCTCAGTTCACTGCCTCGCTGGAGAGCTCCCTGCTTTTAATCTGGTTGCTTTTCTGCCAGGGTAGCAAATGTACTGATTCGGTGGTGCTAGAGCGGAGATGATGATGATGGTTGTGAGCACGGTGTTGGTTGTGCAGTGTCAATGAAACAATCAGATACTCCCATCGCAAATCCCCAGGCGCTGGAAACTTACAGAAAAGCACAATTGCCAAGGCTCAGAGTTCCTCTCTCCAACTATGCAAAGACCAGCTTTAACCTTGGCATTCCTGAGCCGGGCAGAGCTCCTCTGGTTGCTCCTGGACGGAAGGCAATGGTCGTGGTGCAGACCATCTCCTGCGCTGGAGCCTGCATCACTGCTTGTCATCGGCTGCAGGTTTGGTGGTGCTGTCGATGGGCGTGAGAGCTCAGCTGCAATACTCACAGATCCTGAATAAGAGCTTAGGCTAAAATTAAAGCTTTATTTTGGAGGCAGAGCAGCTGGGAGCACGCTGCAGCTGAGGCTGCTTCACACACGCGAGAAACGCGGAGAATGAAGCATTCTCCTGCGAGCTGTCACAGTAGCAGACACTATCGTGCCAGAGCTGCTTTGGGGTGAAGTTTTGTTCTTGAGGCTGAGTTACAGTCAGAGGAATTAGAGCCATTTCTGATTACTGTAGCTGAAGACTTGGAATTTTAGCCACAAGTTCTGCAGTCTTCCACAGTTCAGGATGATTAAAGTGGAAACACGCTAATGATCTGTAGTGTCTGCTTTTGCTTGGCTGTGAAGACATGTTCTCGCTTTTACTCTGATGAAAAATAAGTAGGCTTTTGATATCTCATAAGCATTGTCCTCGACAGCCATCTATGAGCAGTGCTGGTGATCGGGGCTTACTGCAGCTGCACAGTGGCTGGGTATGGAGATGTCCAAGAGCCTACATCTGCTCTTGAGCAACGTGGCTGCTTGCCTGCTCATGGGAAAGTAGGTTGTATAGCACAGGTATGTCTCTACAATAACAGTGCCAACAGCAAGTCAAGCTGGTGGATGTGCTACACACCAGCTCTGCTAAAGTTGTCCCACCTCCAGCCATCACTGTCTTCTGCCTCGAGATTACTCCATTGCTGTCCTTGCCTTGAACAGGGTACCAGCAGCTCAGCAGGAGGTTGGCAGATGGCTTTGAACATGAAGGGTGCATGTGC